CAAATATCAAAGTGCTCTAAAATACAATTTGAATCTGTCTTGGAATGATTATTGGTGATCGCCTTATGCTCCATGTTGTTGGAGGCCTCGGCAGGAAGACCGAATACCCAAGTTATACAAGTTCGATGGAAACCCATTTCGAGGGGGGGGGGCTTGCTATCTACCTTCGGTCCTAGACGGCACTCATTAACGCCGTCCCACACGAAGGATAAGACACGAATTTGAAGTGCACTTTTGCTAAGAACCGGTGGATATCCAAATTTCTGCACCAGGCCATCCACCCTGGAGCTCTCACACCCTTACGTCTATGCAAAGATCTCCACCCCCTAGTTCATGACCGTTTCCTTGGACCAGTGCAGGTCAAATTGTGGAAGCACCTATGGATTACTTCCACATTACATCGGTATGTATCAGAAGTATGCTTTGAATCAGTTGATAATGTATCATAAGTACTCTCATTTTTAAGCATTGCAGAACACAATGGAGTTCCCCTCCCCCACCCAAACTAGATTTTTAACCCCTAAGTTCTACCTCTTGTACGAAAAACCTATTATCAAACTTCAGCGTCCTCATATTAGCAAATAATTAGGGGACACAAGGTGCCCGACAAGAGGATCATCGCGCGGCGAGGAGGCAGAGGTGCAGACGGGACAGTGGTCGTGTCGCAAGGCAGCAGCATTTTCGTCACGCGACGGGCCTCCTGTTGGGTACCCAGGAGACACGTATAACGCTCTGTGAGAGACAACATATGTCGAAGGGTGTTCACGTGGAGTTCCTGCATAAATCCAGAACGGCTATAATATTTTTCTTGCACAAGACTCTCGTTCAATGCGTCATGCTATGCATTTGTTTCCAAGTCAGGGCCTGCGTTCGCTGTAGGGACATGCCTTAGGCCGACGTCATACTTTGCGATTCGATTAGCGATTCGCTCGATTCGCTAGCGATTCGCCAGCGATTCGCTAGCGAATCGAGCGAATCGCTAATCGAATCGCAAAGTATGACGTCGGCCTTATCCTGACTCCCAACGGCTGTCAAAGGAGTGAAAGAAATAAATCCAAAATAAAACTAAGTAACTAAGTATTATAGGAAAATCATGAAATAATACCTTGAATTGGTTCCCCTTCAGAAAAATCTGCATCATTGTTCGCTGTGGATTGACTACAACCGTCGTTGTCATGCCAAATCTGCCAAGTTCAAGCTCATACTGCTTGTGAAGTAACAAACTACAACTAGACATTTATACGTCAAACCTCTTCAGAAGTCAGTCCATTCAGAAGCGCAGCTCGCCTGTGGTTGGTATGGGTGATAATCTTCTTGAACACATGGAGTTGAGTGGTGCAAGTGCATTTCAGCATCCCTGAAAACATTGGAGGAATGGTCTTTTTATCACGTGGTAGGAAGTATAACAGAAAAATTGGCAAATGGCTCACGGCTCACGCAGGATAAACGTCACTAGCAGCGCACTGGTAAGTTGAATTATAAATGACAGAACCGCTGGCATTTTGACTGCTTTCACATGCAGAGCTGTCAGTATCGCTCCAGTCATTGCTTGGTGTCGGACCCAAGGAAATTTCTTAAAAAACATCAAATGGGAATTACGAGCCAAGTCTGGAATCGAATTTCTTTGTTTCCATTCTGAGTAAAGAAAGCCTGATGGTGGAACAACCGACATTCTTCTTCCTTAGCACGGAGTCCATATCTGACATGTATATCGTCCTCTCTTTTTTCGTTGCTTGCCTTGTATCCATGTGCATGGTAGGATTCGGCTCTGGAACATTATACATAGTGGTTTCAGAACGACAGACACAAAGAGCTTGGTAACAAAAAAGTTAAGATTTGAAGCACGGAAGTGCTATAAACACAGGAAAAATGAAACCGAGTGTTTGAAAGCCAAAAAAAGGAAAGAAAGGGCCCCCAAGGGAAAAATCAGTTTCAGTCATAATATTTAGCCTTGGTTATGGAAGATGTTGAGGGAGACTTGAGTAGAAAAAATTTGGTTTTGTTCGCCTGTGGCGATTTAAAGGCGGATTTTACGATGAAAAGGCAGCTCATCGGGAGTTAGTTGCAGATGGTCAGTGATACACGAAAGAGGAAAAAACCGAAAAAAGGCCTAACAGAAATGGAATCCTTGTCTCGCCCGTTGATTTGCGCATTGATGCGACTCTCATCGGTGCTGCCCTCTTCAACGCTAACGCTCTCTCTGCTAAACGGCTAGACTCAGACACGAGACGACGCGAGAGGGGGCGTACCGCGCCAATAGTGCGCCAATTGCGCCGCGGGAAGGCCATGCCAGATCGCCGGGGCATATTCTAATTGCGGCTGCGAACTGCGTGTCGGTCCACACCCTCAGGAGGTTCGTCTGTCTCTCCGCTAGGTTAGTTTCTCCCTTTTCGACCTTCGTCTTAATCGTGGAGTCCTCCTTGAAGTGGTGAGTTTCGAACAAGTCCTAGGCAACACGGCATTGGATAGAAATATGAAACATTCAGCCTTGAAAGTCTTTTTCAGGTATGCCCCAGCAGCGAGCAGGCGCTCTCTAATAGACAAGAAAAAATCATGACATTGTTCAAGACCCCCTAGAAAACAACAAAAAACTGGTAGAGATGAACACCGTCATAAATGTAATGAGCATGTCCAAAATGAGAATCAAAAAAGGTGATGGTGAAGGAAGAGATATCAAACGCTTACGGTAGACGGGGATGCATTGAGATGGGTGGAACCAAGATAATTACGCGGTCGAACCGTGCCATAATTATTGAAGCCCCTTGTGTCGCTCAAGTCAATGTGTAGGGCATAAGGGTGCAGCATTAGAAACTCTTATTAGCTCACCTCCACGTAAAGACAATTCCCGCCTCCTTCTTGTGAATTCATGACTCAGTCTTTCATTTAGCTTTCGCTTCTTCGTCGACGGTGACTCCTTCGAAAAAAGAATCAAACACTTGTACTGTTTGTATCTTCACTATGGAGACTTCACGACTCAATAGGTACCAAGTTATCGAACACTTATTTACCTCCCTCGATGTATCGGCCATATTTGCGGCTTCTTCTAGTGTTATGATGTCATCACAGGATGCCAGTACAGTGGCCATGAAATTTTCGGCATCTTCAGGCGATATTCCACGAGGCTTGATCACGAACTTTCGTGACGGATCATTGATATCGCCTTGTACTATGACGTCGTACTCATAACCTGCAACTGATTTTTTCCCAACACAGACGAACAATAGTATGTTGTAGATGATTACACGATATATAATTCACTAATTTGTTACATAAGCTTACTCTGTGTGTCGGTGTGTTTGCCTGAGCGCTTTCATACCCGATCGCAACGACTAGCTGGTGGGAGTCGTTACGTATCTAGTGCTGTGCGGTCGTTGCGATCGCTACGATCGGACGATCGACCATGAGAGCGCTCTCTGCGCATGGGTTTTTTGTTCGCTCGCAAAATACCTTTTCCATGACAGTAAGCATGCATTCATTGCATCCATTAGGCACCTCTTCGGCAATTTTACATTGTGCAGAGTCAAGGTCAGATGAGGGGAGCGATGGAAGGAAACAATTGTTAATACAACTAGCAAGCCAGCGGTGAGAAATCAATATTATGCCTTGTTATGAATGCGATGTTACTTTCTCCAGCTATACCTGCCAACCTAACAATTTGGAGGACGTTCGATATCAGAAAATGTTTTACGTGAATCGAAGCCGACCGCTAAACAACCAAAAGAACCAAAGGACGTTGGAATAGAAACTACGTACACTTTATAACAAAACGGCGCTTCTTTCTTCCTTCAGTCTTGTTTTTTTTTTTTTGTTTTTTTTTTTCTTGCAAAACCAGCACCGGGAGTACACTTCATTGGCGGCATTACAAAATCCGGGGCAGTAGAAGCGGCTTTTGAAGAGGATTCGTCTGCATAAACTAATACCTTAACAATAACGTTCCCAACAAAAAATTAATTTGTTGAAAATATTGGTTCAAATGCGTCAACAAAACATAAGAGGAAAGAAACAAACAAATTATTCACGGCACAGTGGACAAATGCCACATGAAGCTTTTCCAAAACGTCTTCCATCTCCGCGATACTATCTATCCTGTATCGCCCATCAATCAGAATGGCTGGTCTGTTCTTCTTCTGCCTAAAGGCATAGAAATAGTTGATGGTCGAGAGAATTGCAAATTTTTGTCCCCTAGATGTGCAGAGGTAGTGATCATGATGCAGGCCGTTGCGGTTTCAATGACGTCACCGATCGTCACTGGTGGATTAGACCCAACGCGCAGGGTGTGGTTGGAAGTGCTCTAAGGTCCGATGAGTCAGACTTTGCGAATCGCGGCGTCGCTAGCGTCTGCGGTCGCGTTGTGGTATGTGGCCAATCGAGCGAATCGGTGGCCGCGACGCGACCGTGGGCGCCAGCGATTCGCTCGATTCGCGATGTCTGACATTGGCCTAAACCACCTTCAATGACGTCACCAAAACCATACAGCAATAAAGCTAAAATGATTATAGCCCAACAAATGATCAAAGATCAGGCTATTTAGTAGCAGGTCACCAAGAAGAACGAAGTGGGAAGGCCGCGTTCATAGTTCGCGACTCCGGAGATTAGGATAGTACGCGACAATGAAAAACATATGTATTGACGGGGAGATTAGGATAGTAGTAGAGTAGGAGATTGCGCTGACAAGATTAGATACGTATCGATTGAAATCGCTGGAGAGTAGTAGATTGCGATATTACGATAGTAGGATAGTAGTAGAGTAGGATAGATATGTATTGATCTATTCGCTTGAAGTCGCCCAATCTACTACTCTCCAGCGATTTCAATCGATACGTATCCAATCTTGTCAGCGCAATCTCCTACTCTACTACTATCCTAATATCCTGTCGCCTACTATCCTAATCTCCCGAGTCGCGAACTATGAACGCGGCCGAATGGTTTCCAAAATACCTAATAGAGAATAGAAACGAATAAATTCGCAAAACTTACTTCTCAATCCTCTGGGCAACATCCGAACCCGCAGTGGTTTGAAATTGGTTGAAATCTACACCTCTAGAACGAAGGATGATGGTGAATCCACCGCCAGCGTTTCGAGTGAATTTGAGCGAAATGTATCGAGCTAAAAGAAAATCAATAAAAAAGGAAGCAAATGATTTTGAGAGTGACATTTTAATCATTACATCAGTGCGGGAATAACCACAAGTAAAAAGGTAACTTCACTTTTCTCATGAAAATCGAAAGTGTCACAGCCTACGGTTACAGACATCTGTCACTGCCATAGTAGACAGGCTGTCACCTTATTAAACGATCCATATTTACCGTGAGGACTGACCCGTTTCCAAAGTACACGCTGACCGCCTTGAATGACTGAGCTGTCGGCAACCACAACGTTTGATTTCATCGTGGGCCGTAAGGTCCATATTTTCGCTTGTCCACAACGACGGAGATACAACTTTCATGCTGTAAAAGGAGCCAAATGTTGGATCTCGTTCAAAGTGTCACGAGGTGCATGAATGCCGTACTGGCACGTGCACACAGCTCCAAAACCACAAATTAACATATTTACCGAACAAAAATGAATTCGTTGCTGTCGAAATCAAATAGCTCCTTTGGGCACCACTTATGATTAGAAGACACTCTAGAGTGGGAAGACACACCGAACGGAAAAATTTTTTCGTTGTGGCAAGTTTTGGAACAACAATGTAAATTTGCAATTGTCAGACGGGTCAGTACGCATATGCCTAGCCAACTAATACTCGATTCCTTTTTTTCCATTACCAATAAATATCCTCAAATCTTATCTCAACCCCATTCTTCAGTGATGCAGCCGGTTCCTACTCCTTATGCCCTTGTCCTAGGCGATCGTTGTCTATCCATGTTCATTCGTTACAGTTTCGGGCTACTGTGTGTTTTGATTTCTTTCGTTATGGCCATGCGGCATTATTACATGCTCTAGTAATTAACATTAATATTTCACAAGCCCACCCGATTTATGACCTATTTTATGGTATGATTGAATTTAGTAACCAAAAAGGGACAAAGCAAGCCTCAAGAAGAGCAAACGTGATACCAGAAAATTGCTTTAACAGCAAACATCCTGGAAAAGCAGTGAGGCTTCTGACAGAAGGGATAACGGTTAAAAAAGCGGCGCTCATGTCGTTGATTGAATTGAGTGAGTATCCACTTGATCGAGAATTGAGTGAGAGAGCCACTCACAGTACCTGGGTCCAACCTTTAGGTAGATGAAATTCTGGAAGAGCATGTCACCAAGTTTTGCTCTCCCTGGACGTCTTCCTCTCTCTTGGGCTCAGACCTAGTGTCACCTACCAGTGGATTTTGAATACCCTGTTTTGTCCCCCCTTTATACCCACACCAAGAACATAAGGGCCAAGAAACTTCTGACACAGAAAAAAATTGTTAACAGAAACCGAATCCAATCCCGAATATTAAGAATGATGTACGATTATGGAGGGCTTTCTGACTTTTTACACTTGAAGGCGTGTGCGCGGCGAGCGCGAACGAGTCGGTCGTGCTCGCCGCAGCCACGCCCTTGAAGTGCTCTACACAATTCGCGCAACCCTTAAAAGCGGGATTGACATAGCCACCCGCAACGGTAGGAGCACTACTAGCTCGTCCGCGTTCCCTGCGGCCACGACTTTACGTAGAAAAAACAACGGAGCAATCATGAATCGTAATTTAGAGCCTTCACTTGAACGAATTTAAAAACGTCGACTAAGCGATTAACTGCAAAAAGTTGAGCCCAGTTTACACACCGTGAAGTAAGTTTACTCACCAAACGTCTGCACTACAGTGCCCTAGCGCTTCGTGCACAAAGTGGAAAACTGTATTAAGCTCGCCACGACGTAGCACATGACGATGAACGCCCGCAGCTCTGCCCTGCAGCAGTTCACCACTTTTGTCCAAGAAGAACATCTCACATCTTTTTCTAAAAGTAAAAGTTGAAAAAAATTACTAGCGCTAGCGCTATGCCTAAATCCCACCTGAACTCACGCTTTGCAGCTACCTTGTCCGTTGTTAGTTTAATGAAGGATGGATAGCGGTTGCTCTTCAAATACTCTACAATAGCGTCAAACATCGCATCATTCTCGTGTGAAGGTAAGAAGTTAGCCTTAACGAGCATTCAAGAAGATGTAGCGGAAATACGAGCTTTACAAAAATGTACCCTGCCAGGAAAATTTCGACTTGTTTGAATAAGAGAGAAAAACTCTTAGAACCACGGTGGACAAAACTCTGTGTCGCTCAATTCGTGCTTGCTGATGTGTAGACAACCGAAAACAATCAGACAGGTGGTATATTCTCAGGTCACGCGAGTGAGCCAGTTATCGTTGTATGGCAATGCTGGAAACTGCGAGCGGTAGCTTTGCCAATGTACAGATACAGCCACGGAAAGCTCACCGAAAAAAAAACGGCTGGTCATAATCAGCCAAACGGCTACACTCTTGACCATGTGTAACTAAATTCCTAATGGAATTAATACGCAACTCAATGAAAAGAGATTCGGGACAGAGCGATGCGAAGCACCCATACTTGATACATGTGGCATCTACGCTACATGTTGAAATCGTTTTATTCTAGGCACCAGTGATTCTAGGGGAAGAAATGTGAAGCACTGGATAACCCGCATGTGTTACTCGAGGGCGACTTCTACCTTCAGCCAAAGGTTTTTGTAAGTCACAGACCAAATCCGCGGCGGTGGAACTCGTCATTCCCAATCGAGTTTGAAGTACTTACCCGTGGACCACGAAAAGGTGCACAAGAAAATCTCCTACCCAACTGGCGCAAAGACCAGGGTAACGATGTGAATCAGCCGATATCCGTGAAGAGGGTAGGCGTGTCACCGTCAGCAGCCGCACTTGGTAGATGTCGCGCGGATAAGCTGCTTTCCAACATACAATCGCTGGATATCAGCAAAGCATGCTGGCAACTACTTATCCACGCAACTTTCTAGTGCGGCGGCAGCCAGGTCAGTTCCGGTGATACGCCTACCCCAACTCTTGGATATCAACTGTACATTAACAACCATTGCGCTACATCCCTGATACTACATAATTCTCTTGAAACGTGAAAGGGTGTTGCACTCCTTACCAGGGGATAAACATAATCACCAAAGCCTGAAATGAAAATTAAAAGCGGTGCTAACTTAGTTGGGGGGGGGCACGCGGCGGCGCGGCAGTCTGCTCACCTGGGCTCTCTCGAGCGAGACAGTGTAAACTCGAACATTCCAGCTTTTCACGCATGTCAAGTGACTGCCCCCACCCCCCACCCCCCTAGACTGGCTACACTCCCCCTGGCCCACGGATTTCCGAACATGCCAGGCGAGCAGACTGCCGCGCCGCCGCGTGCCCCCCCCCCCCAACTAAGTTAGCACCGAAAAGCCCTACGGGCGCAATCATAGTTGTCGTCCGATCGTAACGACCGCAGCGATCGCACAGCGTGAAATGCATATCGATCGCCCAATCCGCGGACAGTCTGACGATCGATACGCATCCAATGCTGTGCGATCGTTACGATCGCAAGTGAATGTGACAACAGGGTTTAACTCCCGTGTACATAAGAAAAAAGAAAGCTCACTTCAACAGATACCACAGCAGGGACATCAGTATCTTCAATATAGAGTTGTGTCGCGGAGTTGCCTAAAGTTGTGGATAGATCAACTGAGCATCAATGAACGAGCATGCAATAATAAACCAAATATCTCGTTGAAGAATAGGAACTCATAAAAGCGCAAGTTAAGTTGGGGAAGGCCAGAGGAGAGAGGAGGGGAAGCGTTTTGCATAGGACACAGTCGCCCATTTTTCGTAAGAAGGAAGAAGTTCTAGGGAGGGTGACCAGCTCCCCTTTGAATGCTGTGGGGTCTCTGGTCAAAGATACCCACTCCCTCCCCAATCTACACTTGAGCCTCGAAGATTAAAAATGTCCATGTAACTGTACTAGGACTTACTGCTTGTTGGTGTATAAAACTGACTCGCACTGCCAAGATTACTAGGTGCCATGAGATAAAAAGCTGAAACAAAAACTTTGAAGAACAATTCCGAGACACAAAGCACACTTTACGAAG